TCAACTACCTGGAGATGATTGGCCAGACCGGATTGGAATAGGCAGTCACTGGTGCGATCGTACGTGCTAGCAGTCGCTAGAAACCAGTGTTGCGCACAGAGTGGGGTCAATACGGTCCCGCCTGGTCTTTTGAATCATTCGTTGTCTGCACAAATAAAACCGCTTCTGAACTGCGTGGCATTCAACAGTTTGCTTCTTCTTGCGTTGGCTGACAGACGGCGTAGACCTCAGCCTTCTCTCTTCTCTCCCTTGCAGCTGGTTTCACCTCTCCGTCCCCACTGCCTTTTGTGGACTATGAATATGCACCAGTTTGAATCCCTGATGCGGCCCACTGGCAAGCCAAATACAATTGGCGTTTCGGCCAGGTTTTCGTTCCGGGCCTGTAGCCTTTTTGACCGTGATTCCTCTAATAAAGTAACCTACAACTGCACTCTGGTGGTACGTTTACAGTCCCCCTCCCCTCTTCAAAGTATTATTTCTGCAGGTGTTCGTGTTCCAACTAAATCGATTTTATTAGAGATTTTTCATAGTTGGTGTCTGCACGTTGTGTGGCCTCAAATTTGGCTACCCGGTTTTGTGGATTGTTTCGGGTTATTTTCTTATTAATTTACTCCTTGCTTGTTAAAACTATTACTGCGATAGATAGTTGCCTTCACCGTTTTGGGTTTTCGTAATTATTTTCTGACTACTTCTCTAGGCTACTTTGTCATATTTACTTTTCATGTGACAATATTAAATCTGTCTTGTTTCATTTCCCAGCTCTCAACCAATCAACTTAGGCTATGTAGGCCCCACTTTTGAATCCGAGTCTTGGTGATAGTTGGGTCAAATATTCTGATTGAGTGCTCATGCTGTCGAATGCGGCCGCGACTGTTCACAGGGCTGAATGACCCTAAAACATAAATTAGAAGTGATAATTCCAGTTTCCCTAGTGATGCTCGTTTATATTCCTCGCTTGCAAAAGCATCCATTTACCAACGTGCATAAAACATCTTGAACTCGATGGAGCCCTTCTTACGTACGGTATGCTCGCCAGAACTAAACTACCGACCCGCCCATTCACAAATAGCAGTTTTTTTGCAGGGCTAAACGTCTGCGGCTCTTTGATATATTTTCTTTCATTTTCCCTTCCTTAAATGTTTGTCGGTTTTGTTTTTAGAAGAAGCGGTGATCTGGTTAGTGTGTGGCATAGTGTTCCCCGCTCTTTTTTTGCGTTCGAGTTCTAAACGGTGTCTAACTTTTGTAACGCTCCGAAGGCTCTTATGCGGATTTAACCCGTCCCTCTCTCTCTCTCTCTCTCTCTCTCTCTGACTTACTGCCCTTCTCATTACTAACAACTGCTGTCGTGGCCATGAACTAACATGTTTGTTTTTATTTTAGTGCCAAGTTCCACCACCGCCGGCACCGCCACCACCACCATATCGAGGCCCACTGGCTCGTTTCAAGGCTCGTAAATTCTGACATTTCGTACATTCCACTGTCTTTTTCTCTCAACTTACTTCACACTTCTCGTTCTGTGATGAGGTTTTATGTCAGATTACCTATTCTTTCTTGGGGTGCCCTTTGTGCTTTTCTGCGTTTTTTTAATTTTTTTTTAATTTTGATCATGCCGTTGTTAATCAACAGGGACGTTTTGTTTTTTTGCTGAAACAAGATGCGCATCCAAAAGCTGTGCTTTGGGCTCTCTCTTTCGGATTCTCTTTGATGGTGTAGACTTCTAAACTGTCCTCTCGTACTGTTCTAACTTTGTGACATTAATATTATTTTTGTTTTTTACTACATTTGCGTATTGTAGAAAAAAAACTCGGCTCCACCATCTTCCATTCCATTTTCAGGGGTCTGCTTGTTGATGCTTGGTTATTGAGCTCCTACCAACTACAAAGTAGAAGGTAAAACGTTCTCTGGGGCCAGTGGGTTATTTGTCCGACGTTTCGAACCGTCCCGCGAGCTAATTGTCAAGGGATGGAAAAGCTCTACATCTCACTGCCTATTTATCTCAGTTCTGCCGGGAGTGACCTCTGTCCTCGATCTGCTCGCGCAACTCGAGGTAGGCATCATGAAGATCGAAATGCCTGCTAATTGAATCCGCGCGTGAATGTCATGCTTCCTACAGCAGGCGTGACGTTCAGCCGTCTGACTGACCCTGTATTCGCACGCGTTCGAAGCCATGCCCTGGTATAGATGCGTGGGCGGCTACCAGGGAAAGCTTGTCCTTCCGTCGCACGGCGAGTTCATGCTGGTGCATTCTCATGAGAAGCCGTTTGCCGGTTTCGCTAACATAATTGACTTGACCACAAAGACACTCGATGCGGTAAATGACACCGGACTTTCGGATAACGGGTAGTGGGTCTTTATACCGCATTAGTTGCCTGCGGATTGTTTCTTCCGGTCTATGAGCGACGCCAATTCCAAATTTGCTGACTAGTCGAGCGAATTCTTCAGATACACTAGAATAAAATGTTTTGCTCGCCGGCATGTCGGTTCTGGCTGTCTCATTAGTTTTATTCGTTTGGCTCCTCTGAATAGAAACTGTGATAGCCTTTTAGTCGTATTTATGAACATAATTTTCGCAAAGGGGCAATTTGCCACCCTCTGAACAGCACACAAGATCAGTCTATATGTGGATCAGGCTTG